AAACGGTTGAATATTCACAGCGTCATGCGTATTTATGCTCCTGTTCCAGAAGCCACCGTTCTTCAATATTAAAGCCTGTTTGTTTATCGATGTACCTTTCCCAGAAGTACGGCTTCCGCAAGGCAATATTTCATTATTCGATTTTGTGGACCAGCGAAACATTCTCATGTTTGGTTATCTCCAACTTAAATCATATTTGATCGTGATGCATAATGCATTCATAATAAATGGTGCGTTGCTAATCTCTACACCGCCACCAGTTTATTGCGTGCATTGTGGCCCCAACAGTAGCAGATGCACACCGCAAGCGTTTACTAGCCTCTACAGGTAGAGAGTCTGTTTACATTGTGCATCGGTTCGAGATAGTTCAGTGACGACACAAAGAAAGAACGGCATGGCAAGCTCATAGTCCATATTCGCTATGCTTTATGCATGTAGCTTCGTAAGGATAATCACTTTGCATTTCCAGATACATCATGTTGATTCATTTTGTTCCGTTTGTCACCATGGACATTCTAAATAGTACTGACCGACGTACATGACATGATCACTGGTCAGCGAGCATTAATGGGAGGGTACAGCACGATTCAGACTGGCTATATAAGTTGAAACTGTTGCCGAGTGGTTAGATCCGATGCTGGTGAAAGCCTGGGCTGAGTATAGGTGATTTGAACATACCGATCAGACTTCTGATTACAGCATGTTCAAGGTTCAGAGGGTTCTGCCTGTAATTATCTTCTGGCCGGGTGGAGATCATCGTTAAACCACAGAATTTCGAACAGCCAATGCCAATGATCAAGTCTGATCCCATTTGTGATTCAAATCCACCCTCTCAGGGTTAGGCAACTAATCACCAGCATACGAAGTTAGTGATCTAACCCACTCAGCCGACGGACTTGAACACTCAACTATATAGTAGTCTAGATCACGTACTTTGTACACCCCTCTGACAAGTATAAAACAACACATGTTGAACAGTCATGTCACATTGTAATCATGCCACATTTATCCCAATCAGACAAGTACTGAGCCCCCCCTTCCCCCAGAATGTCCATGGTGATAAATATCAAACAGGACAAAATATAACACAAAAGTCAACATATTCTTTGTAAACTTTATCTGGAATGCAAAGTGATTATCATACAAGCTACATGCATAAAGCATACTTGAATAGGTTTATGAACACCATACACGTTAGCACTTCTTTGTGTCATCACTGAAACCTACAGACCGTCCTCAGTTGGTCACACAATGTAAATAAGTTCCTCTACCTCTTAGAACAAATAATAAACACTTGCAGTGTAGGTGCATCTACTCTCTCAGCCATCAGTTCACAGTTCCTGTTGGTTACAATGCACACAATAAACTGGTGGCGGACAGAGCAAAGTTGGCAGATAATACACACACACCATTTTGGCTATAGTTTTAGAGATACATTATCACTTTTGTAAAATGCACAGTCAAAATATAGTTTAGGACAGGAATATTAAACATGAAATATTTCACTGAAGATACAAAATGATATTCCCAGTGTAAATATTGCCTTGCAGATAATACATACTCGCTACTTCTGGGAAAATAATTTTATCCAGTAAAACAAGCAAACTTAATATTGAAACATGGGAATAAACTCTGGAACAGAATAAATACACATGACATATGAGATGCTATATTCAACCATTTCTAAATGATTGGCTTTGCTTGGTTGGCATCTTCCACTGACATTTTAATTGGCTAAGACACCAAACATATTTTTTCAGTTTATCTATGAAACATTCAACAGGGCTCCAGATAAGTTTTCAACATCAGGAGTACGTACTCCATATTTTTTCAATACAGGAGTACTGGAAAACCTTAAGAGTACATTTAGAGTACTGAATGGAATTTAATGGAGTATCAGTAACCTAGTGTTTCGTTTCATATATGCACCACAACATTGCTATGCTTAAGTAAAAAAGGTAATAAAACAATGTTTCAGAAAAATACATCTGTAAATGATTCTAAGATGTACACCATTGCCGTTGTGCATATCTTCTACGTTTTCTAAATTATTTCCTACCGTATCGTGCATATTTTTTATCCGTACATACGCCGACACGGCCCTTATCTGGAGCCCTGATTCAATGTATACTTATCAGCCTTAATATTAGGGCAGCGACGAATCACCGATGGACCGATTCATCTCGATACATTAAGTTTGATACAGCTATCGTATCGTCGACTGGTGTATTGATACAAAACGATACACAAGTTTTTTCAAAACAGTATTATCTTAAACATGTTAAAGTACACATCTAGAGAAAAATACGCAAGTTTGATAGAGTTACTTGTTTGTATACACAAACACCTTGACATAAACCATTTTAAATCTTAATACAGTGTCATTCTTTCAAGGTGTATGTATCGTGATACGTATCCTATCGCAGGTAAAATATCGCGATTTGTATCGTATCGTGACATAGTGTATCGTCCCAGCCCTACTTTATATACTACTCAAAAACATTAAGGATGACAAAGTTCCCTACAGTTTGTATACTTGACCTGTCATGGCGAGACAGTTTAGTCCTATTAATATGAAAGAAATGAGTGGTCCTCCACGTTTCCGTAGTGGCATAGTGCACACATCAAGATGATGGACGTGAAACACTAACCACATGCAAACCATCCAACAATCTAGTTAAAACATATTTGGTAACAAACGATACATTGGTTTATGTCAAGAGGACACCAATTCTACTATCACCAAAACAAATCACTACACTTCAGAAAATGCAATACAATATCACATGCACATTCTGATATTTAGATTTAAGGATTTCCTGACTGGCGATGAAGACAAAAAAAACAACCCCGGAATTGTTATAACAATGCTTTTGGCAATAACTTTTCTTTCAGGATCAAAATGGTTTCCATGGAATGGTTACAAGAAATGAATGTACATAGACCGCTTATAAGTCTTGTTACACCATGTAGATAGATAATGTCGGATCAAACAGCTACACCATATTTTACAATGATGTGAATGAAAAATGACACCATGTTACACCATGAAAATAGACCATGTTACACCATGTCGCCAGATCATGTTACACCGTGTCACCAGATCATGTTACACTGTGTCACCACATCATGTTACACCATGTCACCACATCATGTTACACCATGTCACCAGATCATGTTACACCATGTCACCAGATCATGTTACACCATGTAAATAGATCGTGTAATGCCATGTAACAAGAACACGTTAGATGAACAAAGACAGAACACCAGATCATGTTACACCATGTCACCAGATCATGTTACACCGTGTAAATAGATCGTGTAATGCCATGTAACAAGAACATGTTAGTTGAACAAAGACAGAACACCAGATCATGTTACACCATGTCACCAGATCATGTTACACCGTGTAAATAGATCGTGTAATGCCATGTAACAAGAACACGTTAGATGAACAAAGACAGAACACCTCACTGCAAGCAAGGTACAAACATAACTGATCAGAGTCGCCATAGCAACTGCTATCTTTGACCAACACCACATTAACTTCTTTGAGGGGCATTTACAAGTTGGAGCACAAAGGAAGGATAACAATATATCGATGAAAAACTTCTTTATTACAATGTGAGCTAAAGAAATTGTCCATCTATATGTTGTTAGCCCTCCATGCACATTCCTTCTAATGCTGTCCCAGAAGTTCTTACAGAGACATAGATGAAGATTACACGATCCAGTGAGTTCACCAGTCACTTCGGACACATGGCAAGCAAGGTTTTTTGGAATTGACTCTTGATCCATCAACTCCCACAAACACGAAAAAAAACAAACAAATATTAAAATAGAAACATCTAGTGATCTCCCCTTACCATGCTGACAATTTACCAACTGGACTAAAATACTAAACATAAACAAGAAAAAACAAATTCTGGCTCTCGGTACATTAAATGCACGAAATACTAAAAATAAATCAACATTTTGGCAACCTAGTGAATTGATGGAGTTTTGACCAATTACTGGCGGAATAACACAAACCCTCAACACAGCAGTAGGAGTAGACACCAACACTGACACTGGACACGACAAACAGTACATGCAACAAAAAAGAAAACAAAATACTAAATACAAATAGTTGATAATATAATATCACAAGCCCTCATATGTGTGGAAAGACCTATGTAAAAACTGGAATTCATTACAATGATTATGTGACCATAGGCCCAGCATTGTCATCTGCATCAATGCGTAGCTAAAACAACATTGTGATTTCATTCCATCTCACTAATATCTGACATTTGGCAGCAATACCACAACTGTTTTCTGAAAATGCAGGGAATATTTTGCACATAATATAAGATATAGCATATTGGCTGGAAATATTTGGCCGGGAATACTGTCTCTTGTATCACGCAACGAAAACACACTAAGTGACTGACCTTTAAACAGGTTCTTGTCTGATCATAAACAATGTCTAATATGAAAATATTTCTTCTATGCATGGAACCACTTCTGAATTGTGTCTACAAAGAGAGGTTTTAAGACAGAGTAAAAGATAAGACTTTAATGAGTGAGGGAGTTTGGTTTTATGCCGCATTTAGCAATATTCCAGCAATATCACGGCTGGGGACACCAGAAATGGGCTTCACACATTGTACTCATGTGGGGAATCGAACCCAAGGCTACGGCATGATGAGCGACCGCTTTAACCACTAGGCTACCCCACCGCCCCAGACTTTAATGAAATCTGTAGCTTTTACAACTAAAACATCAAATAATGGATATTCAAAACCTTGAATGATACCTGCATTTAAACATCCAATGATGAATGAACAAGTGAAGATCTGGGTTAGAATTGGTCTTCAGCAACCCATGCTTGTTGTAAGAGGTGACTAATGGGATTGGATGGTCAGACTCACTGACTTGGTTCACACGTCATTGTATCCCAGTTGCGTAAAATGATGCTCATAATATTGATCACTGGATTGTCTGGTCCAGACTGGATTATTTACAGACCGCTGCTAAATAGGTGAAATATTGCTGAGTGCGGAGTTAACAACAAACCAACTAACCAATGATAAATCATCTTTGGTTCTGATGGAAGCTCAATGATGATGGCAAAAGACATTTTGGTTTCCAAAATACAAGGGTCATGAATCATAATGATTAAAGGAAGCAATTGATAAGGTAATACAGCATTTGCATATGAACCTGGTTTAACGTTGCTTTGAAACTATTTCTGTGACATGACAACTTGTGGGTGTAAGCCTAATCAGATGTAGATATTAGACATTTACTAGTTGGTGCAGACAAACCAAGAACTACAGTCCTGGCAAACTAGGATTTAAACTCGGCATGATAGGTCTCTGGTGTTCCTGGTGACACCAGAAATGGGCGTCACACATTGTACCCATGTGGGGAATTGAACCTGGGTCTTTGGTGTGACCAGCTTAACGCTTTAACCACTAGGGCTACCCCTGAATTTCCCATTTCCTCAATGAAACAAGTTGACATTCTGGTTCAAGATTGAGGAAATCAGGTGGCAATCTAGGTTCTTAGCACTATGATGATATTTAACATCAACTTGTGATAGTAGTGCTGAGATGACCGCCATATGCAGGTGGATCCTGACAATAAGTGTTCAGATTACAACACACACACACACAGCAGTACTTGTCATGCAGCATATGCTGCAGCCTCCAGGCTGCCTACCCTACACACTGATTCCAAGATCACAGCTTAATATAATGAAACATGTCATGACCAAACCCCATTTTGGCCAGGTGTTTTGAAGTTTGTACAAACAAGTGGTTGCCGTTCCATCTTTCAATGTTAGTCTGAGTCACTAATAGTTAGTACCTCGAATAGGAAAGGGTGCTAGATTCAATTCATGTCTTACAAGGTATGAAAGCATGATGTATATGTGACATAAAGAGACTATCTGTGCTTGTGTTGTCCTCAGGACTGGGCATGGTACTGCTGTAGGGTTTGGTAGGCCCAGTGGATGTACAGATTCAGTCGGTCTGGGTCATCAGAGAGAAGATGCTGCAACTGTGACGTCCTCATCTCCAACAGCATCCCTGCAACAACAGTCAACGTCCCATCAGTCAGAAAGACTTCCATTACACTCTGACATCATAACAGAGGAAGTTGCTACTGCTGTCACCAGCTCTGTTGCTGTATCAGACACGTTGTTCAGCCTCCTTGATTGGCTTTTACCATTCATTAACAATCATATGGTTGGGCTACAACAGTGTGAGCAAAGCTATTTATGTGCAACCAGAAAAAACAAAACACAGAGTGATTGAGTAAGCCTGATTTTATGACACTTTTAGCAATATTCTATAAGTATCATGGCAAGGGACACCATAAATTGGCTTCACACATTGTGCCAATATTCTCTACCATGTCAACTGAAACACAATATGACTGACTGACTGAGTTTGGTTTTACGCCGCTTTTAGCAATATTCCAGCAACATCACGGCGGCGGACACCAGAAATGGGCTTCACACAATGTACCCATGTGGGGATTCAAACCCGGATCTTCGGCGTGACGAGCCAACGCTTTAACCATTAGGCTACCCCACTGCCCCAAACACAATATGAGACAGACAGTGAATAACGCAACAATACAGTTGACTTGGTACTCAGGATTTGGTGATGAGCCAGTTATACAACCTGAATGTCGAGATGGCCGATCACAGTCCTAGACCAACTAATCAAATAAAATCAAATGATCAATTGTAAGGTTTGCAAAAGCAAAACCCTGCCATACCATATTGAGACAAACATTCTCAAGTGGCTTCCCATTTGTAAATTATTCCCATTTATCAAAAATGACTTGTTGCAACCAAGAACCAAGAAAAGAATCTTTTGTCCACAAAATGTAAAAAGGGCCAGTTTTGTTTACCTGTGATGTGAGATGCATGATCAGGGAACATTTCTCTAACTTTGTCATAAACTTCCTGTCCGAGATCAGCTTCTGCAGTGTGGTTGTTGTTTTTCTCAGTGTGTGGAACACTGGATTCCTGGGAGACATGGTAACACTTGAGATAGGAATCCTTGGCTCGGGACATCGCCTGTCTCAACATCTCTGGCGACGCTAGAAGCTGTGACACAGTGTCAGAGTCTAACTCAGCCAGCATGCCTGTCCACATGGAAATAGAGAGATATTGTCTGTTTGTTGTTTATTGATCATTATTGTCCAGTCCAGCTAAATAACAACAACTGAGTTTCGATTAGCCTAACATGATGAACATGTGTCAGATATTGATCTACGCTCTGATTCACAGTTAGGGTGTAATGATGTGCTGTAAGTCAGTGAGTCTGATCACATGATCAAATATAGAGACAATCCTAAGAACCAGTTCTATTGTGGGAATACCGAGAAAGTGATTTTTTTATCAATCCTTCGAGAACAAAGAATTGAGAGCTGAGGTAATACATGACACGTCAGTATTCTGCGAGGTATCAATGATATGATTGGTTTAATCACTTTCATTCACTCCAAACAAAAAGAAAAATGTGTCTTAAAGAAATTCACTCTCAGTTTGTCTATGAATACACTGTAAATTGTGCCTACAAGATTGCTCTGCCAATGAATTTACTGCTTCCTTGATGTTGGCCTGTGAATATCATTGAGTCTGGATCAGAAACACAAATGTAACTCACATCAAGTTACAATCTAACGTGTAAAAACAGCTGAAACATACGAGATGTAAGGTATTATGTACTGAACCACAAAAGAAACGTCGCTTTTCAAAACCAAATGCAAAATTTTGTTCTTGCAAGGTGGTGTTTTTGTTATGATTGTACCGTTTTCTTAACATGTTTTTCAATCCAAATTGACAGTTATTACCAACATCAGTGTGTTTTCTGATGAAAAAGCATGTCGACCAAATGCACTGAAAAAGGCAGACATGGTAAAAGGTTCCGTATGACATTCGTGAAAATGAAAATGCATGTGCATGTTGTGACAACCCTACCAATGAAAGCGAGTCCCAAACTCACCTGAAATCATTTTTATTTTGACACAGCCACCATGCCACATCTTACGAGAAATCAGAGTAACCAAGTCGTGGGACGGTTGCAAGTTGTCCAGACTGCACGGAGGGTAGCCAATCATTTTAATGTTCATGTTAGGACAATCTACCGACTGCAGGAGTGGTATCAGGTCACTAACAGCATCCAAGACCGTCCATGCAGTGGGCTACATTCAGTAACATCAAGATTGCCAGGCTGTGCGCAACCATCAGCAGAATCGCTTCCCCAAAAGGACGGCGGAAACAGCACAGCAGACCATTTAGGCTCACCACAGTGATACAGTGCCGATACAATGTGTGGACGTTTGCGTGGAAGAAACCTCTACTGTCACAGACAATATCGTAGTCCTGTCCTCACCGCTCATCACCGCCAAAACCGACCAAAATGGGCAACTCAGCATTGAAATTGGCGTTATCGACAGTGGAGAACTGTCCTGTTATCTCATGAAAGCCGATATTGCGTTTCGACAGTCGATGGCAGAGTGAGAGTATGGCGAGGGCGTGGTGAAATGTTTTCCAATGAGTGTATTGTTGAAAGAGACTTGTGGGGTGGTCCAAGCATCATAGTGTGGGGTGCAATCGGTCTGAACCAGTTAGTTAATACCGTGGTGTTCCAGAATCTTGGTCCAGGATGAGGAAATGACATGACAACTGCTCGCTATATTGATTAAGTCATAAGACTCCACGTTGTACCACATTTTTGACGTTACTGAAATCACATCTTCCAGCAAGACAACGCTCGTGCCCACACTGCCAGAGCAACATTGGACTTCCTAAGATAGCATGGCATCCAAACCCTACAAAATCTTGCACTAGGTCCGAATTTAAGTCCAGTAGAACATCTTTGGGACAAGATTCAAAAAAGACTGAATGGCCTCCAACCAAGGCCGACAACTACGGCTAGACTCGATCATGCATTTCGCAGAGTATGGACCCAAGTGTGCATGACCTTCATCGACTGGCCAATTCATTCCATGTACAGACGATGCAACGATTTCAGCAATGCCCATAGAGACCACACACGATACTGACTTTGGGGTATCTTAATGGTACCATTTTTGATGATTTTGTTTGTGTGAACTCTAAATGTATTTCCTGAAAATGTGTTAACCATAATTGTCAAGTTTTGATTGTTAGAGTGAATTAAAGTGTGTGCTTTAAGAAACCCCTATCAGTGCGACATTTCTTTTGTGGTTCAGTATAGGTGAGATGATAATATAAATCAATCAGGCCAATATAAAAAAATGGTGTGGTTCAGATTACACCTCTTTAAAAGTTTGGGTAGGTAGGTAGGTAGGATGTTTTTTCATTTTTTTCCAGAAGTACAAACTAATAGCACATTTATCAATGTGTAATTGTTTATTCAATCAAGGTTTAGATTGCCCTCTTGCAGCCATTGTTTTGACTGTCCCTATCAGAATGGCCAATGTCTGTTTGTGCTGAGAAAAAAATACGTCATCTAAAAGCATACATCATACCTCTAAAAAAAATTGGATCGGCACTAGAATTCAAGGGTTGGTCGGGTAATCGGCAACCACAGCATTTTTCTTTTTAGGCCTCATGGAGCAAAGTGGAACACTACTGTACCTGTTAACTCTGATGGCATTGATGGTTCAAGAACAGATATTTTGGCATACAGGGCATCACAGAGTTCTGGACTGGACTCTGCTGCGGACTTCCTCACATTACAGAATGCACTGAAACATTGATAACTATTCTGAAACACTTGAGTCCATACTGAAACATTTAAAACATGAACCACTGTCAACAATGACATACACCGTGGTACACAATGTAGTACATCTTTACCTTTAATTAACTATCGGTACACCTACAGAATACTGGATACCTATCAGCCATATTGTTTAGTGTCACGTCAGCCTATCCCTAAACCTTATCCTAACCCTAAGTAAACTTGCGTGCTTTCAAAGATGGCGGGTATCCGGTATTCTGTAATCTTGCCTAACTACCACATAAGAATGATTGGGATATAGGGTAAGAGTTCTTCCCGCTCCCCCATCCCAAATAATATTTATAAATATACTGAAATTATTAACAAAACTTAACACAACAATTACTAGAGAACTCACAAAATGACTCAAAGTCCAAAATTTAAGTTAGGGTTAGGTTTAGGGTTGGGGGAACTGAAGGAACTCTTTCCCAAGAATCTTCTAGATTATATCCTGATAATCAAACACCCTGAAACATTCAGTTTGGCAGAAGGGGTCGTTGTCGGCACGGGTACTACTGATGTGAACCCCAGGTACGTTTCTGTATACAGAAAAATACCCTAGCCAAAATCGGAATACAGAAACGTAACCTAGTGTGTTGTTTTCTTGATTGGAACTGTCATACAGCTGAATTAGATGCATTTGATTGCGTTCTATAAGAAACGACCATACACGGTAACGAATATTTCGCGGAGCACAATACCATTTGCAATCAGTTGAACGGGAACAACTACATACAGTTTCGTTTTTGGGTTGCGAAATATGGACGCAAGGTGCCGGGTACGTTTCTGTATTTTGACATTGTTTAGGGTATTATTACTGTATACAGAAACGTACCTGGGGTACATATCTGTATCGTACCTGTGCCGACAACGACCCCTTCAGCTTCAGTTTGTACCTGTGACTTTCAGACGTAAAATTGTGTTTATCCAATGTTTGCACAGCTTTTTCCACATAATTTTTCAGATGGGAAGGGTTTTCTAACATTTTCAACACATTCTCGTCATTCTCGTCTAACAACATCCCAGTAATTTGTGCAGGGGAATGTTTCGGTTTCAACTCTTCCACTTTGATATAGAGATGTTCCGAAAGAATGTCATGTTTCTTTGGCATCGTTGCTTTTGACATGTGGGAGGTATATGCAAAATATATATATTCCGACCAAACATGACATCAACATCCCTGAAAGGGAGCAACATTCGCAACAACTATCTGTCAAACACCTCCATGCTGACACGACCTGTGAAATAATAAGCGACAATAACTTCCGGCAATTCGGAGCCGGATACGCTCACGCAGCAAAATGTAGTCCCTACATATACGGTTTGTTTTACAACAATTTATATTATCATCAACATTGTTCAAAACCCCAGACAAACGTTATAAATGTGTCAACAAAATCAGGAATCCTATATTCATTGATTACATATCTTATGTGCGCTTTAATTATTAAATGACAAATGATTTGTATTTTGGGCCAGTGGTCTTTGTATGGAATAAAACTGCCTGTCTGTCAACTTGAGATGGTACTCGCAAGGGCAGACCGTGGCATATTTCAATATAGCATTATTAGCGAATGACTAATAATTCGTCAACGATATATATCTATCCCAATTTATAGTAAATAACTAAACAAACAAACATGATCCACGCTGTATGTTTCACACATTTTTAGATATGAAAAATAAATTACCTACCTGTCTGACAGGGTAAAAAATAATATGTATAATTGGCCCTTATTGTCATATAATATATGATATCAGTACAGTGTAAACGTAGACCTCTGACCACGGATCAGCTAGGGTAGATGTCAGGTGAGGTGAGGTGAGGTGAAATTGGGTTTAACGTCGTGCTTGAGAATATTTCGCTCATATGACGACGTGCATGCGTGTGTATGTGTATGTGCGGCTGCTTGTACTAGCCCAGACTGAAGCTGGTTTTATAGTGTTAGCCCACTGAGATACCATGCCGCAGTGAAGCATGAATACCCCACCCAGACACATTGTACTGACTCCGAGCCGACAAGTCCTTGTTGTACCCATTAATGCCGAGCGCCAGGCAGGGACCAACATGTACCATAGTTTAACGTCTTTTGGTATGACGCGGTCGGGGATCGAACCCACGACCTTCCGCTCTCCGGGTGGACGCCCTAACCACAACACCACGGAGGCGGTCTAGATGTCAGGGCTCAGAAGATCCTGGTAATAGGCGACTATTGTAGGAGGCGACTGCATGATAAGATCGAGTGGTCATCATTACATCTCCCGATGTAGTTTTATGCATGTCATCTTATCCTGATTGCGTGCTCTATGATTAGCTTATGATGTCAATCACTGGATTGTGTAGTCCAGACTCACTGTCATGTAGCTGGAATATTGCCGAGACAGAAAACGTCCGCATTATTATATTTGTTACATACAGAGTTTCCTCCAAATTTAGCTCTTGTGAAACTATTTTAACATTTTTTTTGGTATATTTGAGTCTGAAAGAATGCCAAAATAATCGAGTCGTTTTCGTTGAGTGGTTGAGTGAGTTTGGGTTTATGCCGCATTTAGCAATATTCCATCAATATCACGACGGGAGACACCAGAAATGGGCTTCACACATTGTACCCATGTGGGGAATCGAACCCGGATCTACGGCGTGACGGACGAAAGCTTTAACCACTGGGCTACCCGATCGCCCCTCGTTTTTCGTTGAACCAGGGAGAAAAGAAGACGTAGATTATCCCTAGTTGAACCAAATTAATTTCAAAGTATTCAAATACATAGTTTGCACGAATTTTGACTTAACAATTGATATCTAACTATGAAAATGGCGGTTTATTTGTAAGCCAGAAACTATTACACTACTCGAATATCAGCAAGAATTCAGTCAAAGGTGTGATCGACAAAATAAACAAGAAATAATTGACATCATTAATAGAATCCATATGAGGTCCTGTCATTGGAGGCACAGTGTTAAATAGTTGTGTAGATAATATTTTCCTCTAGCGGGCGAAGGAATATTATAGTCCCATTACTTCCGATCAGCCTCTTTTTTCAATTCTCACGTTGAGGTATACGAACTTTGCAATTGTTGTCGTAGAAAACTGCGAATAATTGTACTAATTCTGAAAATTATGATTGTTCGATAAGGAGTGGTCAGTGTAAAGGCACTACATATCACCTTTACCTAAAATTATGAACGTAGAAAGGGCTGATCATGAAATACAGCTCTCTTTAAACACCAGGCACATGCCATGTGCTTCGCTTCTCTTTCCATTCTGATGTTTCACTTAGTAAATCATTCTTTCAGCTTGAAACATACGTTTCACTAATTTTCAAAATAGTTCACTGAAGGTAGCCGGTTCCAAAGCTCTTTTTGGTCGGTCTACGATGTGCGGGGGATGTTATCTGACTCATTGCATCTCCACAACACTGGTCATGATGTAAACTCTTGTTTCATTAATATTTGGTTCAACACAACCGCAAATTGGGCGATCGAAAAGATAAGTAGTGAAAACACCTACAGCATGAAATGCTTGCTGATTGTTATCACAAAGACTTCGTTGTTTGGGAAAGCGTGTAAAGCTGTGAGTTAACACAATAATTCTGGATAAAACTAGGGAACTTGAACAAAACATGCAACCCATGAAAATGTCTTTCATTTAGGACGCGAGCCAGCCAATCATAAGTCGTCACATGAATAAAAAAAATACTTGTTGAGGTATAGGAAAATTGTGTAAATATTCTGCAAAAATAGTGATAATATTGATATTATCATTTTGTTCCATAAAGCAAAACGGGTCTAAAGTTCCCCACACCCAGTGTGATATCCCATCCAAGATGCATTGTTTTATGCTAAATCATTCAACTTCATTCACTGGCTCATCTTTGCAAAAGGCCAATGAATGAAAGATTGCATACATCAGATGACATGAAAAGTTTCATTGTTGCCGACGAGGATTCATTTTCATACATCTTCTGAATATTCCTTTGAGATCTATGCCTTGTAATTGTAAACAGTCAGCCTGCGTTATTGATACATGTTTATAAGCCTGAAAATGCAGGGAAAATTTATCGTTAGTCCGAAAGTTCATCCAGCTATAGTCTGTTTGCAGTGAAAATGTACCGATGAATATCACTTTAAACAAAAAAGTAAATCAAATACAGTGAAATTAAGATTATGCTAATCCTCATAATTACCTTGCCAATTGAACATTTAAATCTCGGAAGTTTATTCATCTTAGGATAAAAGTTGTTTAACAAACGCATCATAGTTTCAAATCGCTATTATTGGTTTGAACTACAAGGTTTAAGCGCATTAGTTGGAACAATGAAACAAATGCACGCGGTTTGTTGCAATGCGGATGAGCTGCTAACTCAGACCAACCCGGCTGTGGGTAGCCTAGTGGTTAAAGCGCTGGCTCGCCACGCCTAAAAAGCCCGGTTCAATCCCCACATGGGTACAATGTGTGAAGCCCATTTCTGGTGTCCCCGGCCGTGATGTTGCTGGAATATTGCTAAAAGCGGCGTAAAACCAAAACTCAGTCAGTCAGTCAGACCAACCCCAAAAGGTTCTCGGTGTTTCATTTAATGTGCATTCCCCCTTGCAATACAAACCAAAAATAGCGATTTGAAACTATGATCGTTTGTTAAAGGTCACATGAAACGTAAAATACAACTTTGCAGATTCTGATACCTTTCGGTATGGACTTACCGGAGCAAATCATCAAAAATGCAAATTCAACTTATAAAGTTGAAAAATAACACGATGAAAAAACCCAGAGTTCAAACGATTCACTAATAGTTTCGCGCAGGTTGGAAGCGGGTTGTCCGGTGAATACTCGGTGAAAGCTTTGGTGTGAGCTATTTTTTAAAATGTTTTGTTGATATTTCACAGGCGCGAGCTTTTTATATGTTATGACAGTAGATTACCAACTTCATTTGTCTTTCACTTACCCAGTCACCTTCTCAGTTCGATACTTAAAAGCAATGTCATTATTTAGCGTTGACAGAATTTCTAACTGTGATATAGATATGTCGTTGTCACAGACAAAACTCAATGTCGGTTTTATTGACACCTATGTGTCTGCCCGCCTGTCTGCTAATGACAATATTCAATACACAACTTCGATCACTGACCACATGCAATTTGAACTTAACACCTATCAGGCTATACACCATAAACAAACGCATTGATTTATGGCCTGAGTTCAGTCTCTTTCACATTATGTAATTACACAGACAGGCAGGTGTGATACTTGTACACACGACATGTTATGATGATGTCTGTTGATTGAAAAATGTTATACACAAAAATGAGCATGTATTTACAAAACCAACATCATCTCTATATATACACACACAATGAGCCGCGGAGGGCATCTGCAAATGAACCAGCCGTTACACTTGAGTGCACACCCACCCGCTTCTGACTGGGTTCGGTATCCCGCCGCTTCGCTTTCTAGGAAGTAAACCCAAGTACACAATATTGCACTTTTGATTTGTGATTGTACACTTATTATTTTGTTTATATGTTTTTCATAATCATGAATAAGTGATAATTGTGTTTAAATTGTTTGATATTTTGGTTGCATATGACCTTTAAACAACTTTTTATCCTAAGTTGAATAAAATTCTGAGATTTAAATGTTCAGTTGGCAAGGTAAAATTATGAGGATTTGCAATCTTAATTTCACTCTATTTGATTTACTTTTTTTTAAAAGTGAAATTCATCAGTAATGCTTTTCACTGCAAACAGACTATAATGTTGCATGGATGGTTAAGCAAACTATAGAAAGCTTTCACCAGGCATGTTTTGCAAGCACCCAAACAACATCCTGTGTTAATAGAGGGTGTGGGGTAGCCTTAGTGGTTAAAGCGTCAGCTGGCCGCCACACCGAAGACCTGGTTCAACTCCCCACATGGGAACAATGTGTGAAGCCCATTTCTGGTGTTCCCCGCCATGATATTTCTGGAATATTGTTAAAGCAGCGAGAACCACACTCACTCACTCTGTTGATAGGCAGACTAGTCTTCAACAACCCATGCTTGTAAAGGGCAACTGACAGGATTAGGTGAGCAGGCTCTCCAACTTGATTGAAGAAACAATGGAGATTTAGCTATGAAACCTGAACTATGAACCTTGGCAGACAAATTGGGAAGAGTTAGTTATTTTGTGAAACATTTATGTTAACAGACATTTTAGTTTACAGTTCATTCCATTGAGTAATGCTAAAAGTTTTAAACACAGATTTGTACCTATTCCACTTTATTCAGCCTGTTATCAGTGAAATAGAACTCTTTTTGCCAAGCCACAAGAAGTTATATATTACTTTCATGATATTATCCTAGGCATTGATTCACAGATAGACAGGGAAATATTTTCTTCTAACCATGCTGGGTATAATGTGTGGAGCCCTTTTCTGCGTGTCCCCACGGATGTTGCTGGAATATTGCTAAAAGCGGGCGAAAACAAAATCTCAGTCCATCAGTCAGTGTTCTAACCATGCTGATGTTGCTGACATGTTGTGGACTGGGGCCAAACCAGGTCGCCTGGAGCACATGTAGATAGATCCCTGCAAGTCCATGAAGTAAATGTAGACTGTTATATTGGTAATTTGTCTGTTTCAGCTGACCATCGCCGCCGCCACAATGTCGGCCTTCACCTACAGTGGATGATCATCAGGAACAACTCCTCCTTCTGCTGAAGAGACCCAGACTCACCATCAGCACGGTACACTTGCACTCTAACAGTATACAGGGTGGAAATAACTTTAACAGTGCTAGTGTACTCCGCACAGTGGCACATGTAAAATCACTCTGCCCCTGATAATTTTTCCACTATACCCAACCGCTTTCTTTGTTGATTTTTAAATAAAAGAACATAATTAACATTGGAAAGTCAACTGGACACCGGGTATAGTAGTGATATACAAATTTGCTTGCCAGACGTCCAACAGTCCAGTGTTTTTTCTGTCGGGCAAGCAAATTTGTAAATGGGTTATTTCCACCCCTGAGTATACCGAGATAAAGTAAACCTCCTGTGTAGGAATATACAGATTCTGAGCAGCTGGTGTTTCTGGTAAGACGCCACTAAATAGGTCGCCTTGTCAGGCAGTGTGATTTCAGTGGGTTGTTTCACAAAGTCGAAAATTTTGGGCCAAATGGAACTTGTCATTGTAGCAATTGAGTCCGATCTTAATATCAGCTTATAGCTGAATTTTGCTGAATGGGGCACTTTAACCAAAAAATATTTCTGCTACATGGGGTTTTTCTTATTGCAGGAAAAAACAACTTGAAGGGTATCAACTCCTTCCGCTACAATGGTCTGATCCGCGAAGAAGACTCTTGGTGTGGAGCCAGCAAAGGACGGAAAGGGCGCTGTCTTGGTCACCAGAAATTCAACTGGTCAGTGGTGGTTTGTGTTACATCTGCATATTATCAGAATTCATGGATTGTAAACTCTACTCAATGGTCAGGTTCTGAGGTTAAGCAATCTTAACATTTTCAAAGTTATCATGCAAAACAAGAAAACGTGATGAACATAATGAAATGAAATTGCCAGAAAGTAAATGGCACTTGTACTTGACAGTCTATGTTCAACCTCAAATTAAATACAGTAATAAGTATTGAAATTTTACCAAACAAATTAACACATGAAGATCCGGGTTAGAATTCGCCTTTAGTAACCCATGCTTGTAGTAAGAGGTGACTGAGGGAATTAGGTGATCACGCCACGACTTTGGTTGACACATCATTGTATCCTATTTGCGAGATTGATGCCTCATAATGTTGATCACTGGATTGTCTAGCCCAGACTTGATTGTTTACAGACTGCCGCCATAAAGCTGAAATATTGCTGAATGCGGTGTTGAACAGCAATCACTCAGTCTTATCGGCTGGAGAGAGTGGTGTACTAGCATCTTTGTGGTGATTCCTGGTTAGAATGGATCACTGTCCATTACTACACTTGTCGTAAGGGTCATTGTTCCATCTTCAAATGGGGGAGACTGCCTCCGTGGTGTAGTGGTTAGAGCCTCCGCCCGGAGAGCGGAAGGTCGTGGGTTCGATCCTCGACCGCCATACCAAAAGACGCTAAAATATGGTAATTTGTTGGTTCTGCCTGGCACTCAGCATTACTGGGGTACAACAAGGACTGGTCAGCCTCGAGTCAGTATAATGTGTCTGAGGGGATATCATGCTTCACCGCGCGGTATCTCAGTGGGCTAACACTATAAAACCAGCTTAAGTCTGGGCTAGTACAAGCAGCCAAGACATACACATACACGCATGCATGTCGCCATATGAGCTAAATATTCTCACGCACGCACGCTAAACCCACTTTCACTTCACTTCACTTCACTTCACTTCAAATGGGGGCTGCAGTAGCCTAGAGGTTAAAGCATACCGCCATGTCGAAGATCCCACATGGGTACAATGTGAAGTCCCATTTCTGGTGTCCCCAATCTTGATGGAATATTGCTAAAAGCAGCGAAAAAGCAAAACTAGCTCATTTTCGAATGGATTAGTAAGAACATCCTACTAAAGTGTAGCTACCTACTGGCTCTTACTTGTCAATGAAGCTAGTGTTGTTTCACATGCAGGTAGCAAAAGTGCTGTAAGTCACCATGGTGATCTGCCTTCAGTTGTTGGCAATCTCTACCCCGCTTTCATATTGTATTGGACCCAGGAAGGTCGGGTTAGAATGAATCTTCAGTAACCCATGCTTCTAATAGCCGCATTAACGGAACCGGGTGGTAGTCAGGCTTGCTGGCTTGGCTGACACATGTCATCGGTCTCCCAATTACAAATCGATGCTCATGCTGTTGATCACTGGATTTTCTGGTCCAGACTGATTATTTACAGACCACGCCATATATAGCTGGAATATTGCTGAGTGTATGTGAAACTAACCTCACTCACTCGTATTGTTGTAGTTTAGAATTATTGTTTTATGATAGCATAGCTAGTTTTAAGTCTAAGTCTGTGATAATCGTGAGTCGAAAGTTATTTTACAGGGTGAAACAGCACGCTTTTACCACAGCACGATATGCTATGAAGCCTTCGCTTTGGCCCGTCGTATATGAGATATAATCATAATGCAGAAAATTGACATTCAACAAGAGCTAAACCTTATAGGAATACATAGGTTATAACAAAATGATTTGATTTTTTAGACATTTTAGAAAAAGGTTTGAAAAGGTTAATAAAATGATGGTACAAAAGCCAAAACAACGACATTTTTGGATTGCATTATTGTATACCAAACCGGAAGGCAAAATACCACAGTATACCATTTCACCCCTATATTTTACTGTCCTCTATCAGCAGGCATTAATATAGTATAATTTTGTTTTATTTATATACAACTTTCACCGTCCATGATATGCTGAAATAATGCCGTATGTGACTTCAATTTTAACTCACTCACTCACTCACTCACTGTTTCACTTCCAGGAGGCCGCAAACCCAACAAATCCTTCACTCGTGTTGAACTGAAGCGTGATCCCCGCCGGACGTTCGCTACTATCAGGAAGACCATCAGGAGAAACAAGTACAGGAAAGACTTGAAGATGGTAACTAACCAGGATTATAGGCTTGAAATTGAAAGAATTGGTTCTCAGGCAATTGCTTTGTAAAATGATGTAGGCAGGAGATGGGGTGTTTTTCAACTTTGGGAAAGCCTCCCAGCTGAAAAATTCCTTAATAAGTATGATACTGGTGACTTTATCCCTTCATCCAATTTGAAACAGTTTGCAGTGGTCCCAATGTAACTCTTCAGGCAAGAAGATTTCATACAGTTGTAATTCACAAAACTGATCTTGATCTTATCCAATGTATCCCTCGCGGACCAGTGAACAAGCTATGTCACCACCGCCAAATGTTAGAGTGGTTTTACATAGTAGCAGGACAATCTCAGCAGAAACTGAGTGGGTGTTTTCATGTTGTAGGCTGCAGTAAGCGGCGAAGCTGGCTTCATCCGGAGCCAGAAGCCAATTGTTGTCAAGAAGGCCGGATCGGCAAGAGGGATTAAAACAAACAAGAAAAAAAATTGTAAATACAGATAATAAACTGTCTGGGTGAATCCAAGTTTTTGTGTTGTGTGTTTTCGAAACATCTGTTGTACTTTAGTAAGATGTGCTGCAGTAAGATGCTTTATTGTCCCATGCGATATATGGTTGGTTTGGATTCTCCACACTTTCAATCTTTTTTACAAATATGTTCTTTTTGATTGTTTCAAGACCTGGCACTTTGGAAAGTTTAAAACAATTTTTAATGAAGTTTTAAAGATACATGCATCATTATGTCACCCTCCATCACCTCAGTGGGCTGTGGGGTAGCCTAGTGGTTAAAGTGTTCTCGTCATTACCAAGGCCTGGGTTCGATTCCCACATGGGTTCAACTCTGTAGCCCATTTCTGTGTCAACCACCGTGATATTGCTGGAATATTGCTAAAAAACGGCTGCAAAAAACCATACTCAGTCAGGTCAACGTCCATCATCTCAGTACCATTTCCACATCTGTTAATCTGTGATGGACCAATGAGGAAGTATTGCAAGCCTGACTCCTCGACTCGCTAAACCTCTTATTTTAATAATTTTATTGAAAATTGTATTTGTCTGTCAAGAGCAATATATAATATGGCCTAATTGTTTTGAATAATTAGGAAATGTTAACAGCAGAATGAAACTTAGTAGAGTGTTATTTTAATGAATGCAAGACATGTGAAGCAGTTGGTAACTCAGTGTCTTGAAAGATATCTTTAGAAATGCAATGTGGTGTTTTCAAAAGTATCAATACTGGATCATTAAAGCATTCCTCTTCACACAGAAGATTACATTCTCAACATGTCCAATATGTGAAGCTACATTCTAGTCTGCCTGTTGCCAAAAGTGGCATAAACAACACAATTGACTATTGAATGGCACATGCTCAAAAACAAGGGTACTTTCTTTCCCTTTCATTTCTGAGGGGAGCGGGTCCCAAATTGGTTAAAGTGTTCACTAGTTGCACCGAAGACCAAGGTGGATTCCCAACATGAGTACATTATTGGTATGCCCACCGTGACAGTGCTTGAATATTGCTAAAAGCCGTGTAAAACCAAACTCGCCAGTTCCTGATGTTAATGAGTTGTGTGAAGTATTCGCCCATTATGGGAATGCCCATGTTACTGGTCCAAGCAAATCATGACTTAGGGCCTTCCTCCCAAAATCACAAATACCAAACTCAATCACTCTATATGAAAACAAACCCATACATTTATGACTGTTCTTGACATCTATTTTGCAATTTAGATTTCACGCGCAAGCGAATGTATTTTCTTCATGGAGACAACCGTTTTTACATCACAGTTGCGCTTTATTCTCATCAAACCAAATGAAGCGCAGTAAAATCTCTTTGTATGTGCGGAAGGTTCTGTGACAAGAGTAAATAAGAAAATATGTTTGACAAGCATACCATAAGGTGGTGAGATAAAAAGAAACACGATTTTAAGGATAACAACTTTCTTTGTTACATCGTTCGTCGGGGGTGGGGGGCAATTTTGTATCTAAGCATATAGAAATTTATGCTTAAAATTTATGTCGAGTGGCGTGTCATTGATTTTGTACATGACATGCAGTGGGGAGGGTGACTCATACTGTGTACCTAAATGTTAGAAGGATCATTCACATTGTACATACTCAATAAAATTAGGTGTGTGAGTTTAGTGGTATATGCTCACGAGTGCCCACGAGGTGAAGATTCCATGAGGTGGCGATTCCCAAGTTGAAACTAAAAAGTGCTCGGAATCAGTTCGTTAACATGTAAGTGTAAACCACGAACAAAACAACAAGGAGATGAGGCGAGATTAACCCATTTTGTTTACGGGAGGTAGGGGATCATCAAATTTTTCAAATTTGTACACATGTACTGCGGATGGGGTGGGGAGGCTTGAAATAATTTGTTGATTTTATACACGCCACGCGGGATGGAAGGGGTGGGGTGGGGGGAGACTTTCTTTGTACGTACATTATATGGGGGGTCATTTACAGTGTACATGCTTCTCTATTAAAACAGTCATCAACCCCCTAGCAATAAATTATGAACGGTCCCTATAATATCTATACTACGTTTCCGTAGATATATTATTCAATGATGAAACAACACTTTTTTTTTTTTTTTTTTTTTTTTTTTTTCAATGAAACAACACTTGTTAGGCTTTTCAGTATATGCTATTCGTTAGTGAATATTCTTTATCAACTTGACAAATTAGTTTCTTATGTATGGCATAATTCTGCCTTCTAACGCCCCATGTACATGACACAGAGAAACACTTGTTATTTGGTAAAAGATGAAAACTGTCGCACTAACCTATGTTCCTCATAGGTGAAACAAATCTATCACCTTGTTCACATAATCAAGAAAAACACATAGAAACATGTAGAAACGTGTCGTTGAGGGTCCGTAGAGATGCGTTTAGACGAGCTGGCATATGTTTTCTATTTTCTCTTAGATCTGAACTATTTCTATTAAACCCAACAGTTCGCCTACTGTTGTTCTTTAGGTCCACGGTGTCGATTTGTAGGTATGGAATGTACGTTGGCGATTACGGGGTTTCCATTCTGCATAGCCTCGTTTACCATTCGCTGATAGATCGCGCAAAGTTTCTCCCTGGTTGGGGGCGAGATCATCTCTGCATTACCAATGATTTTTTCTTTTTTATTCATTAAATTATTGAATATATTGAAACAGTCCCATTATTTTGAGTAAGTGAGTATGTTTTATGCCGCTTTTAGCAATATTCCAGTAATATCAGGCCGGGGACACCAGAAATGGGCTCCACACATTGTACCTATGTTAGAATCAAACCAGGATCCTCTGTGTGACACGCCAACGCTTTAACCACTAGGCTAGCACAATAATAATACACACACACACACACACACATCATCATCATCATCATTCACTTTGAAGTCGTCTAAATCACTGCCAAATTTTGAAGTGAATCGGATAAAAATGCAAATTAATATGCAACAGGCCAACACTTGTACACAGTAAGTTGGACCATCTTTGGAGACGGAAGGAGTGGTACAAAGGTAACAGTGTCGCAATCACATAATATACTCATAGAATGATTGAATGATGAAAGCACAAGTGTTCCTTTATTCTTTTCCAGGTTTCTTCACAAGGTATGTATTGCAGTGTGAGTAAAATTCCGGAAATACATAAAGGAACACTTGTACTTTCATGTGTTCCCTTACTTTTTTCTATGAGTATATGTTACGATCAATGTCAATCAAGAAAGATTAGTGTACAAAATATATCATTCTTAATATGAAAAATGTGATACTGTCACATAGGACTGTACCCGATGGCTAGCACTGTAATTAAGGCGGTAACATAAGGTGTTTTGTGGTATTGCTTGATTGTTTCAATAGCCACGGAAGCATACGTAAAATGTCAGCGTGCGCACAAAGTGTCGGTCAGGACAGGACTTAGCTCATCATTACTGTAGACGGGATGGAGTTATATGTATATTTAAAAATATACGTTATATTTTTAATATATTTTTTTCACATAAATCGATGTTAAGTTCATTAGTAAACCAAAGGTAGACCATATTCAAAATATTATCACCGCTTTTTCTCCAGCCGATTCAAGCTGGAGATTATTACAGGGGCGTAGCTTGCTAGATGTACGGAATGCTACTCGTGAACATATTTTTATTACCCACGCGGTGAACGAACAGATAGTGAGATACAAGACTCGCGTGACACCTGTGTGGCGTGCAGGGTTCACACGTGGTGTCCGGGTTTGACTCATATTGGAGCGCTTTGACTGGATGACAATGGATAACCAGGTCACATTCTAATTCATAAATGTTACGAGAGTTCATTCATATTTTCACAACTTTAACTGCCAACATATCTCTAGAAAAAACGAGATTATTACAAACATAAAAACCCTGTCTTTATTTGAAACCCCCATCTTCTGTGCCCCTGTCCATGCTGCATCAATTAACCTTAACCTCTCCAACAATCCCTGCACCAAAAAGACGAAACATAACGTGTCTGCACCGGCCGGCACAACTGCTGATAAACTCACCAAGTGGCGAAAGGTTTCAAGCTCTTTTCTTACAGTTCAAACCTATCGTTATCTATCCTTTATATTTCATTCTTTGCCATTATAATTTCCTCACTGATTTTACAATCCATATATATTTTTTCAACGCAAGGCATATGGTCGTACGTGTCCACTTTTTGATTAATCTTTAATCGATTGGATGGGTTTTCAGTGCTAATATAGGGAATAATATATTTGACCAGCTGAAGCATACATGGTACCTGTATGTTAGGATCATAAGAGTGGTTATACACATATATAGATCAATATGTACGTGTATCATCTGATCCACTCCGTCTCCGCCAGAGGGGCAGAAAGACTGGGATCGTGTGAATTTTGCTCACACCTGCCTTGACCACCCGATCTTCATTCTGGTAGGGTGAAGGAGAAGCACGCCAGACAGGGACACGTTGAGAGCTGGGAACATCCCACAGGTTCAGAATGCAAGAAAATGGGCATGCCACTGACCACCCTAGTTTGGTTGTTTTGGTTTGGGTTGGTTGTTGTTTAACGCCGCACTCAGCAATATTCCAGCTATATGACGGTGGTCTGTAAATAATTGAGTCTGGACCAGACAATCCAGTGATCAACAGCATGAGCATCGACCTATGCAATTGGGATACGATGACATGTGTCAACCAAGTTAGCGAACCTGACCACCCGATCACGTTAGTCGCCTCTTACGACAAGCATGGGTTGCTGAAGACCAAGATGGAGATTCGGGTTCAGTGATTGCGAACCATACCATACATAATCATAATAACACCCAGTGACCTAGATTGGACGTGATGTAGGCGGAATATTAGTCAATGTGACGTTAATTTCATGCGTGCTGTGAGTATAATGTGCTTAGTTTGTTTGGGTCTTATTCGACACTATGCTTCAAGAACACAACACGATTAACGATAGTCGTACCAAAACTACTATTTATTAAATGGACCAGGTAATATCAACACAGAATACA